CCGCGTAGTAGCGGGGCCGCGCCAGCGCCCGCCTGTTGTGTTTCTGTTGCCGCCCGCCATCTTGTCGCCAGCGCTGCTGCTGCTCCTGCTGCCGCCGCCGCCGCCGTCGGGGCGAGCCGCGGGGCGGGGCGGGGCGGCGCGGGCGGGAGAGGCGGCGGGCGGCAGCCGGGGGCCCCGCGCCATGAGCATCGAGACGCTGCTGGAGGCGGCCCGCTTCCTCGAGTGGCAGGCGCAGCAGCAGCAGAGCGCACGTGGTGAGAGCGGGGGCGACAGCCGGGGGGCGGGCGGGGGTCGAAGCGGCGCGGAACGGGGATGTCGGGGGGGGGGGGTGCGGCGGGCGCTGGGGGGAACGCGGGGCCGCCCCCGCCCCGCCGCGCGGGGACACGCAAAGAGCGCGGCGGCGCGCCCCGGTGGGAGGGGCGGGGTGGGTGACGTGATCGGTCCCGCCCTCCTTCCACGTGCGCGGTGCCGCGCCACGCCCCGGTTTCCCGCGGGGAGCGGCGGCCGCCCCGCCCCACCGCAACACGGCCACTCGGGCGGGGCGGCCGCTGCTTCCCCCCCCGGAGCCCCGCGAGCGCGGAGCCGCTCTTTGTTCCTGCGTGACTCATCGTCAGCGCGGGGCGATGCGGCAGAAAGGCCGTTCGTGCGTTGTCACCGCGCTGCCCGCGGCCCCGCTGTTCTGCCGCGCGCACACACGCGCAAATCCAGAGCTCCTTTGTCTGTTATTTGCAAACTCCGGACGTGAATTAGCGGGTGTTTCATAGTCCCGAATTGAGGTTAACATTTTATAATCGAAGAAAAACATATCCCCCCCAAAAACGTAACCACAAGCAACTCGTATTTGTTCTCTTATTTTTTCTTCCCGTATATACTCCTCTGCTGTGCTCTCTGCTTTGCTCCTGCCCATGTTGATAAACGTTTCGTTTTCCTCAAACTTTGCAGCATGGGCAGTGACCCAGAGGTGCGCAGGGTTTCTGTCCCATCCCGTGTCGCTGCTGGTGGCACACCTGGGTTGGGTGGGATGTCCCCTGCCATGTGTGCTTGGGGGATTTCCCATTGGTTCTGCCCAGAACAGCCCCTGAAGATGCCAAAATATGCACTCGGGGTGTCTTTTTCTTCTTTCCTGCTCTCTGCGCCTGGATTGCTGTCTGATTTGCAGCATTGGCTGTGCTGAAGGTTAGAGGCTGCTCCCCCCGTTGCTGGTGGTAGGGATGGCAGTAGTGCCATAGGGGCTGCAGGCAAGTGCTGGGTTGCCCTATGCATCTGCAGAGCACTGGGTAATTCCTGAAGTCTCCAGACCGATCCCTGAATGTTTGTGCAGCTCCAAATACTCTCACTTTTCTCAGTGCAGCACAAAGCATTCCCTGGTTCTGCTGACCCGCACGCTGGTTGGTCACAGTGCTGCGGAAGAAGTTCTGGGAGGGCCTGGCAGCAAGTTGTTGTTAGTGTTGGTGCTCTGGTCAGGTGTCTTCTTCAAAGAGTCCTGTGCCCAGCAGGAGCACCTCACTGGTGGCGATGTGCTGCAGGCCTGGCTGTGATGTGGGATGGCCTCTCATCTATTTGCAGTGAGCCGAGCAAACCTGGATCGTGCGTTTTGGGTGAGGAAGGCGTGTTTAGTGCCTGGGAGATGCTGTAGGTTCAGAGATGGGTTATGGAGATGGGCAGAGCTGTGGTGATGATGTAATCTGTGGGAGGACATAGCCAGCTTTGGCTCCTCCATAGGGGAGACCATACATGGAATCTGGAAGAAAGTCAGCACTGGGGAACTGTGGCACTGCAACTGCACTGACATCCCTGCAGACATGGAGCTGGTGTAGGTAATGGTGCTGGTACTGTTGAGGGGTGATGGGCAAAGGCTTCTGGCTCCTGCGCACATGGATCATGACTTGATGAGCAGATACTGTTCAATTTATCTTTTCTCAATTGTGGAAATAGGATTTTGAAGGGTAGATTTCTGTTTTCCATCATTCCGCTGAAGCAAGCTGGTGAGTGAGAGCATCCCGTGACAATGGCTCCTGCACAGCCCTGGCACAAAAGCCCTGCACTGTCCTGGTCATGATAACCCAGAAACGTTACATGAGCTCCAGACCAGCGAGGCCCTGTGGTTACTGCAGGGATCTGGTTCTGCTGTGACTCAGTGGGTGGCACAAAGTCTCCCAGCGCGTATCGGCTTTGGCTCCAGTTGGTGCAGAGTGCCAGCAGTGTTCCATGCAGCTCTGAGCTCAGCGCTCCGCTCGCACCCACCAGGCTCAGCTCTGCTCTGCTCTGTGGGCACAGCAGGGGCAGCAGGCACCTGGGCTCTGTTTCCTGTCAAGAATATGGGTTTACCACTCTTTTCTGACTGGCACACTAAAAGCACACCGTTGTTCTGTGTCTGCAGACTTTGGAGCCATCCCAGGCTTGGGAAGGGAGGCAGTGGTTCTTCATGGTTTCTTTTGTGCGCCCTGTAGAAGATGGGACCGGGTCCTGGCTGCCCTCAGTGCCATGTCCTGCTCTGACCACAGAAGCTGTTCAGCTTGAAAATAACTGCTCATCAGAATACATTACTTACTGCTTCTTAAAAATGCTGATGCCTGGCAGAAAAGCCCTGAGACAGCACCTTGCATCAGCAGAGCTCAGTGACCACGCGTCCAGGTGAAGCTGTGCAGACGGCAGAGCAGCCCAGTTGGCTGCAGAGCTGCCCGTGGAGCACATAGCCCGTGGGCAGGCAGCCTGGGCAGGGGGTGCTGGCTGAGGTGGGGTTGGTTTTCTGGCAGTCCTGATCCATTTTCGTTTCCCTTGCTAAGTGTACCTGATTTCTTTCTTCTCCCATCTAAGAAATGTCACTGAAGTGCATCTGTGTGGACCCACTGAGACTGAAAGGGTTTCGGTTAAACACGGAATATCAAACTTAAGCATGATATAAACTGTCCATGGAGGTGTGAGCAGTTGTTGCTTTGAGAATCATCTGTGTTGTTTAGGGATGGTTGCTTCTTGTTTGGGGCTTAGAAGGCAGGCCACGAGATTTCTTGAGGCCTTCCCAACCTTCCCATGTTCCTCCATAGCTTTGGTGGAGGGAAAGGCTCTCTCCCTGGCAGGAGTACAGCGTGTCCGTGCCCTGTGTCCCTTACTGGGCAAGAAGGTCACCTCGTCACTCTGGTTTGTCTCAGGTTTGGGTGCTGGGGTCACTGTGATTTCTGGGAGCTGCAGATAGGCCCATCCCACTGATGTCAGCGTTGGTTGGTGTTACAGAGGCACGGTTTGCGTGAAGGCTGGTTTTGCTTCGCTCTTGCTGATAGGACATAAGCGTGTCATAGTCATCTGGCTGAGAAAATGGAGATTTGAAGTTGTTGTTCACAGAGAATGGTGACACCTGCAGAGAAGGTGTGGGAAGTGTGCATGACGTTGGTGAGGTGGCTCAGCACGGGCCCGGAGGTGTTTAATACTGGGACACAGGTCGCAGGAGGGATGGCTCTGCTTGCAGAGATGTGCCACAGCTCCGGGCCCCCATTGGAAAGCATTTCCCATCCCCAGTGCACTCCTAACATACGGCTTCACCTTTCCGTAAGGATGCAGTGTGTGTTAGGAAGGACAGCAAGGCGCCGCGACACGGGCTGACAGCCAGGCTCGGCTCCCAGTGAGCAGCAGCTGGTGAGACTGGGGAGGGCTTGGGGTGCGGGGCTCCCTGTGCCGGGGTGGGGCGGGGGGCAGCGCGCTGCTTGCACAGCCGGGAGCTGTGTGGGTGCTGCTGACGTCACGTGCAGATGAGAGGCGTGCAGATCAGGGCCCGCCGTGTGCCGGCACTCCGGCTCGTTTCCAGGCACCGGGAAGCGCCGCGGCTGTTCCCTGCCGTATCCTCTTATGTCAGCAACATTTGGATGACTCAGCCCTGATTCAGACTGCGCTTTCCCTGTGCTGTGCCTGGCCTTCTCTTGCAAGTGCAGCCCAGAACAGCCTCTGCTATATGCAGGAATGAGGAAGCGGCGCCTCATTTATTTGATAATGAGCAGTTGGAGGCTTTGTGCTACTCCATGTAGTGATGGGGTGATGGTGGGATGGGGAACGGGAGCTCTCCATCTCCTCTGCCCTCTGCTGCCCATCCCCTGCTTTGCTGGGGAGGCCCAACAGAAGCACTGGCAGCAGCGATGTGCAGTGGCTGCTGTCACCCCCAAGGTGTGTGCTGCAGCTGAGCCACTGCCTGGCAAAATGCCGGGACGGGCACTGCCGGACAGCTGGGCTCAGCTCTGCTCTTGACCCTTCTCGGCACAGTCTGTGTGAGCTTTTCCTCCTGACTTCTGCCATTGCTTAGAAGAGAGTGCCAAGGTCCAGACAGCAGCTTTGCCTCATCTTAAGTGGGAGTGTTCACTGTTAGAAGTGCAGAGCATCTGCAGCTGATGGCAGAGAGTCAGGGGCCCAATGGACACTCGGGCCTCTCCAAACGGAATCGAGTGGGAGTCAGCACTGTGGCTCTGCCCGCATTCAGCTGTCGGTGGGGGTAAGGTGCTCTGAGGACATCTGGCCTTTTCTGAGCAGACTCAGAGGTAAGCTGCTTGATTTTGCAGAGGCATTGCCACTGATAAATTATGAATATTGATTAAGTCCCGGTGCAAAAAAGGAGCATTAAAGATAGCATTACAATCCCTTCAGAGGAGCACTCATGGGGTGCATTTGCAGAAGGCCCCAGGTACGAGCTGCTGTACCCTGACCACTGCCAGCCCCAGCATCTCGTCAGTCACCCCAAGCCCTGCTGTGGGTGGGAGGTGCTCCCTGCACACGCAGAGGGAGGAGATAATTTTAAACCTGGCAGATTACTAGGTAATGAAGTTAAGAGTCCCTGGCACTGTATATTCCTGGGCTGCCAAGCCCCAGAATAGCAGCAGATAGCTCGGGAGGGATTGCTGACCCTGTTTCTGTGCTCTTCTGTGACAAAATTGGTTGTGTCCTCCCCTTACTGCTGGTGTTGCTGTCACCCATGTTACTTGTGGGTGGTGAGGCTGAGGGCTGAGGTGTGAGCAGCTGGGAGCCTTGCAGCCCTGTGGGGGAAAGCTGGGGAACTTAGTTCCTATGAGAAAAGAAAGAGCTCTGAGGGTCTCTGTGATGGTGTCTTTACTTTGTTTGCAAAGGGAACAGAAGGCAGAGATTGCTACAGCTCTCTATGCTGTAGCACCATTGCTGCACCGTTGAGGTATTTGTGTCCCGCACACAGACTGCTGGCAGGCACCCTGACCCCTCAGAGGAGGGGCTGGTAGCCCAGTGCCTTCTTGCCAGTGAAGTCAGAACAGAAGGCAGCGGTATTAGGTTTTGGCTAAAGCTATTCTTGAAATGAACCCTTCAGCTCAAGGGAGCTCAATATTTGCAGCACCAAAGGCGTCTCTGGCAGCTTGTCAGCAGCCCGAGGGCTGCACCTGCTTCGCAGAGACATTTACATGAATATTTCTGATCAGCAGTGCACGCGTGTAACCTTACTTTGCTGTGCTCTCAGCTTGCCCAGTGAATGATGTGTGCTTAGGAGTTTCACTGCTGCTCTGCTGATGCTGGGGAGCATTGCCAGCAGCACTGGGGCGGCTCCAGGCTGTCCTGCAGCTCCTGGGCAGTGCTGCAGGGATGGAGCAGCGTGCCCGGCATGCACATGTTGGGATGTCACAGCCCTGCAGCAGTGCTGGGGGTTTCTGTCCCTCCCTGGGCCGTACCACTCCTTGCCCAGCCTGTGCCATCCTGGCTTTTCCCAGAGCATTTCTATGCTGCTATCAGGAGGTCCCAGCACGAAGCGGCTGTAGGCGCGCCATTCTTCAGCTCTGTGCAGGTGCCTGGAGGCACCCAGTGAGTTCCTTGGGCGGCGTTGGAGCTGTTTGTTGGAGGCTGTGTCTGGGTGCCGGGGCCCCTGGCGCCATGGGACATGGATAAATAAATGTAATTGGTGCCATGTTCACATGATTAGGGCCGGAGACCTGGATCAAGTTTAATGAGGTTTATTTTGCTAGTCCGGCCACACATTGCATGTAATTTGTCTGGCATTCTAAAAACCTACAGGAACACATACACATCAGGGTGAGTTTTAGGAGCTTGAGTAAAGTCACAGCAGAAGTGTGAGGTCAGTGTGAAGCCAGGTTGGGTTGGGATTTGGCAGCACCAAACAGGGCTGCTGGACCCCAGGAGCTCTGTCTGGAATGGCTGCAGCCCCACAGCCACTGCGTTTGCCCTGGCTGCTGCGTGCGGCGGAGCACAGGCAGCACGTGCTGCACTGGGACGGCCAGGCAGAGCGAAGGGTTGGCCTGGGCTTTGGACACGGCGTGACCTTGGCTTTGGTCCTAAGGCCTCTCTGGAAGCGCAGGCTGTGTCGTGCTGGCTTCGTAAGGGCTGTAGGTGGGAGACGCGGGGGAGCCCCGTTAGTGACCGTCTTCTGGTTTGTCTTTCAGAAGAGGATGAGAAGCACGAGAAGCTCCGCCTGGAGCGGGAGCAGGAGCAGCGGAAGGCCGCCGTGCCGCGGGCCAACCACGCCGTGCCCCCGGAGGAGCCGCGCGGTGAGCTGCTGGTGCCCATCTCGCCGCCCGCCCCGGCCCCTCCGCCCCCCCCGCCGCCCCCGCCGCTGGCGGCCCCCATCTCCGTCATCCCCATCCCCGTGGTTACCAGCCCGCCGCAGCCCGCCGCCCAGGCCGCCCTGTCCCCGCCTCTGGCTCAGCGCCACCCGCCCCTCGTGAGCGCTCCCGGCATCACCAAGGAGCCGCCCTCCGTGGCCCCGGTCATCCAGCGGCCGCCGGGCGCGCTGCTACCGGACGGGAAGGCGGGCACGCCGCCGGCGGGCAGCCCGAAGCAGCTGCAGCACTACGCGGCGCCCGTCCTGGCCATCTCGCAGCACCACGTGGTCCCGCAGCCCATCCAGCCCCAGCCCGTGCCGCACCCGGCCCCGCCGCTCGGTGCCCTGAAGCTGGCTCCGGCGGAGGACGCGAAACCCAGCGAGCAGAAGAAGAGGCCTGGAGGGTGAGTGAGTGCGAGCAGCTGCTGCTTTGTGGAGTTTCAGATCAGAAATGCTGAGATCAGTGGATGTCTGGATGTCTGGGTTGGTTTGGTTTTTGATAGTAGGATTTCTCAGCTTGATGTTTTTCATGTTTTGCCCCTGACCACAGTACACAGGTTTGTTTTTCCAAGCCAGAGTGGCGTTAGGAAGCAGTCCCACAGTGGCTGTGTGACCCCAGGCAGCACCTGGTGTTATGTCTTGGCAGAAGATCTCTGCTTACGGTGTTCGGGGGGGTCGTGCGGCAGCCCCGGTGTCTGGAAACGCTGTTGAGTTCTGGGCAATTCTATCTCCCAGGACAGGGTTCCCTATGGCTGCTATTTGCTGTCGGGACTGAGGGCCTCCGGAGCATCTGGGGCCAGAGGAGATGCATGGCTACTGAATGTGTCCCTGCCTGGGACGGGCCTCGTGGCTGGACCACTTGTGGTCAGTGCTTGTCTCATTGTTCTTATGGACTTGGGTCAGCCAACGCTCCTTAGGGGATCCAGAGTACAGTATCCCAGTACATAGCCTGCTACTATTTCTTGTGCTGTTTCTTACGGACTGCAAGAACGAGTGGTTCCCTTTGCCTTTGCAGCAGCCTCTCAGCCTTTCCTGTGTTCCTGCAGTCCTCCTTTCTGCAGGACAGCTGATAGGGCTCTGCTCAGTCGTTCCTTCCATCCCTGTTACCACTTCCATGACCGTTCCATCGCTTCCTGCACTGAGGGATGTCTCTGTGGGGCTGTGCCCAGAAAGACTGTGCCCACCTGTGTGGTCTCAGGCTGCCATGCATCCTTGGTGTCAGCATGCAGCTGGGCAGCAAAGCAGAGGTGCTGGGGCCATGTGCTGCTGGTGCTGCCTGCTGGCTCACTGCTCTGCTCCTCCACACCCCAGATGGTGGCAGTAGGAGCTGTGTGGGAGCAGCACAGAGCCATAGGTGCCCTGCTACCCTGAGGAGTAGTGCTGGGCTCAGGAGGTGGGCGATGCTGTGGGCAAAGACAGGGTTCCTGGTGTCCTCCACACAGAGATCCCAGTTTTCATAGAGGGAACGGTGGAAACCGGGTAGTTAAGAGTTTGTAAGGATGAAAACTTTTGCAAAGTGCTGATACAATTCCTCTTGGAAAGGCTGTGATCTTGAGAGTTCGCTCTGTTGCAGATGGGTGTGTGGGCCTGGGGCTGGTTCTGGTGGCACAGGGGTGCATTGCTGGTGTTCGGTGGGTGTAAGAACAGAAAGAATGTTTTTTCCAGCTTGTAAATGTTTCCTGGGAAAAGGCTGTCAGATATTTATTTTTAAACACCTGGATGTTTATTAAATATGTATCAACCTCCTTCGGTGCTCACCTCACTGTTGGTGTGTTGTCGACCACTTTGCACTGGGTATGGAAGGTATTCAACGCCTGTTGCTTTATCACCATTGTTGCTGTAAAACTTATGGTTGCAAAAATTCATTTGGCTTTTCCTAAAAGTTTTCCTGTGGTCTGTGAGGTGGGGGCAACCCAGATCCCCCCCAGAGGCTGACCCTGGCTTTCCCTTGAGCAGTGGCTGCAGGATTCCTGGATTACTTCACTCCATATTTATGTTAGGCTGTGTTATTTCAGGCACAGCAGAAACGAAAGAGGTTTGAATATGTCTGCCAAGTCCTGTAAACTTTAATTTGCAACTGCATAAATCTCACCCTGCTGGAGTGTAGGCGTGGATCAGAAATGGGTCAGAATCTGGGCTGCCAGTGCTGTGTGAATGCCCCGTGCACCCACTGTCCCCTCCTGGTGCTGGGAGCTTACGTAGGCACGTCGCGCTGTTGGATCCAGTGTGCAGTACGTGGGTAATGCTCACCCTGTCACAAATGTGTGTGAAGTATGGATTTTACTTCAATACAGCGTAGGGAGGAATATATATGCAAGTAGTTCCAAACCAGTGGTATCTCAACAATGCTGTTGTTCTCTCATATTTACCTGTGTCCTAGACACACACACTGCTGAAAGAACAGGCTGAATGGCAATAGTTGTAAACCTGACACTGAGTTTATCTTTGTTCTGTTTGGGTTACAGGGTTGGGACCAGGGAAGTACATAATAAATTGGAGAAAAACAGGTGCGTAGAAAGCCAGGGGTTTGCTTTTTTTTTTCCCAATTCTGTTTCACATTTTGGTTTTTGTTTTTTTTTGGCCTGTGGTCTGTCAATATTTGTTTGCCTTGGGCTTGCTTTTTTTTTTTTTTTTTTAAATGACTTGGACAAAATTCTTAGTTACATTTAACGAACCTTGTGATATTGCTTTGCTTTCTTATGGCTCGATTCTGCATCGCTTGCTTCTCAGTACGTTTTGTTTGTCCGCATAACTGCATTACAGTAACCCTGCAAAGCCCTGATCCCGCAAAGTAAATCCCCACGTGCATAACGGCGGAACTTCTCTTTGATTTGAAGCAGTAGAGTAACCAGGAGCGGAGCCCAGCGTGCACTGAAGTACGGAGTGGAGGTTCCTGATCTGACACGTGCAGCCCACATAGCCAAATAGACACAGGATGAAACCAACAGTGCAGTGATAGTTATTTACCATAGCGCAGCAGTTTCCTGCCAGCGTAGGGCTGGAATCGGAGCCGTAAAGCAGTCTGCCTGCTGGATTGGGATGGCTTGGTTTGAAGCATGCAGGTAGTCCCAGTGACTGCTATGCACATGTGCACATGCTTTGCTGGATTAAGGCCCAAATTAAGCTTCAGCCCTCTGCTAAATTGATTTGTGGTGTGCGCTAACACAAGCTGACAAACCACCTGTGTTTTCTTTAGACGTGCACATTTGAAAGAATGCTTTGAGACATTAAAACGCAACATCCCCAACGTAGACGACAAGAAGACCTCAAACCTCAGCGTCCTCAGGAGTGCCTTGCGATACATCCAGGTACGGTGGCGGTCGGGTCCCTGCTGGTGGCATTGCACGGCGCTGTGTGCTGGAACAGGGAACAGTGCCAGCTCTTTTAAACCAAGTAAAATTTTGCTCTGGATTGAAAAGGAAGAAAGCCCTGTTGAGTATGGTCACTTCTGAGCTCCAGATTTCCAGGCCTTTTAGATCTTCTAGGAGAGCTTGCCTCGTGCAGCCTCCTTACCCCAGGAATTCCTTAGGTAACTGTAAGCCATCCGTACCAGTGATGGTGATGGACTTCAGGCAGTTTCACCTGAGTGCAACAGATAACCCAAATGGTCCGAAAAAGGGACATCCTGCCTAAATAAATGCATGATATGGTACTGCTTTTTGGACTAAGATGAATTTTAATTCGTATGTTTTTGGGTAGGCTTTGAATTTCTGAACGTTGTGATGAAAAGATGTGCAGATCATGTCAGGTCAGGATGTGCAGGGATACCAAGAAACAGTCTGGGAAAAAAGTAAAGATCAATTCGTATTGTGGTGATTGCAGGTGGAGTGAAATAAGCATCACTGATTGCTTACCCTTGTCATGTTTGACACTGTTAGCAGTTTTGTCAACTGACACTGCGAGTTGTTCTTATGCTGAGGTGTTTTGCACAGCTGATGTTTGTAAAAGGTGGTTAATTGAAACACAGAAGTGGTTCTTAAGAAGTGTCCTCTGTGGTGGTGATATCAAGAGCTTGTAGCACAAGTAAAATTTGTATAGAAAATGGAAGCCAAATTCATAGCACCATCTTGCAAGTGAGGAGAACCAATAGACCTCATGTGTTTTGGCTGGGATAAAGAGTGCTGAGCTTTTCATGCGTTGTCATTTCCTTCTTTTCTTTCTGTATTTCTCAGTGTCTCTGAAGTACTGTGTTACTCTGCTGTTCAGAAGTACTGGACATTCCCTGTCAGCACTGCATTTTCTTACCTTTCAGAATTAGACCAGCTCTGCTGTCCTGTGAGCCTTGACCAGTGACATCCCTTGCAGAGCCTTTGGTTGGGACCTGGAAACCAGACAAACTGTGATGGTGCCCAGCCACTAGGGAGGGGCAAGTGAAAAAGGAAAAGATGCGTGTTGCTTCAAAAGGTCTCTTGTGGAGTTGTGGTTGTGTTGTAGTTAACGGGCACCAGAAGAAATTGGAGCATTTCATTGGGCTTCAGACTGGTGTCAGTATGGAGCTGGGCTTCTGTTAGCACTGGGGCAGGCAGTGATCACATCTGATCACCGGAGTCCCGGCGTCCGGAGCTGCTCGCACCTGGCTCGCGGCGTGCTATGAATACTGATGGAGTATTCTGATGGTTTGTCTGCCAGCGCGTTGTTCTGTGGCAGAACTTGTATTCTGTGCTTCTGGGGGGCAGCTCGCAATTCTCTGTGAGGACTCGGTGGGGACGGCCGGCTCTTTCTCCCCTCACCAGACCACTGGGAAACGCATCGAGTTGGAGGCTGTACGAGCAGGCGGCGCTGGGTGGGCGGGGGCCGTGGGCCGTGCTGCAGCCACACCGGGACCGGCTGCAGGGCCGCGCCGGGGAGGTGGGCGGCGGAGCGCGGCAGCGGTGGCGAAGGTCACGGTGACCCCGCGCGGCCCGGCCTCCTTCCTGCCGGGAGCTCCCGGCCGCGTCCTCGGCCACGTGTGCAGCGAGCACGTGGCGCGGCGGAGGCCTGGCGCGCTGCCCGCGGTGCCTCTGGGCACGGCTGCGCTGCGCCGCGCTGCTGGGAGCGCCGTGCTGGCGGCGGCCCCGTGCGGGCTGGGGCGGAGTGCCCGGAGCCGCGCTGCGCTCGGCGGGGTGCTGCTGAAGGCTGCAGATGCGAGTGCTGCGGCTGTTTGCCTGAAAATCGGATTGCTGGGAACCCGATTTGAATTTTCTGACTTGAAAAAATATATGGCTTTTTTTTTTTTTTTTTTTTTTTTTTTTTCTTTGAATTTGGCTTGGATTTAGCTACGTTCTGTTTCACCAGGCCAAAATGCACGGAGTTCAGGCTGCAGATGGGGCCAGGGTGAGCCCCTGCAGATGCTGCCCTCAGAGCGTCAGTGCGGCTCATCTCGATCAGCAGGTGGGAGCATGGGGCTGGCCGAAGGACTGCCTGCACCTCTGTGTTCCAGCTCTCTGCTTGCTGGGTGCTGCTGGGTGCTGCCTCTGCCTTGCAAAGAGAACGTGGGAGTACAGAAGAGCTCTGAAATTCAACACTCCTTCTTTCAGCTTGGCAAAGTAGTTTCTTGTGGAAGGGAAAAAAAACCAACAAAATGAGCCTTGCACGGGAGGAGTGCAGTGCATGGCCCCGAGGTGCTGCTATGCTGATCTGCCACAAGGAGCTCGGCAGTACTGCTTGCTGCAGCCACTCTGCCTGCAGAATCCTTTTTCCCTCTTCCAGCTGGAACTTCTTACAAATGAGGTGCTTGTCTCCTTGGCTGGATTTGAATATTTGTATCTGCATCAAATCAGATAAGTCACAAAGTTGAATTCCAAACTTCCCGTGGAGCTGTCATTCTAATTTATCCTTAGAGCCAGGCCTGTGCTCTAAGAGAGTAAATTAGAATCTCTGCAATTAGGCACATTGTTGCACGAAGGAAATCAGGCTGAACGCAGCTGGAAGTTAATAATCCTTTTAAATGGTGATTTGGCTCCAGGCAGCGTGGGCTGCTGCAGCCCAGCTCTGTGGCCTTTGGGTGAGGGGATCGTCCCCTGTGCGTCGTGATGCTTCAGTCCTTGCATGTGGTTGTCACCCACTGACCTCCTGCAGAACTCAGTGGCGGCACCGCTGGGCTACTGGCAGCTTCCTGGGTGTTTCCTGTGACATGGAGAAGTGCAGTGGGACGGAAATGTGGGTGTCTGCCTGGGGAAAGTATGTCTGAGTGCCCTGGGCCTGGGCAGCCCTGGCATGGAGCAGCGTGGGTCTGGCACCAACCCCGACAGCAGCAGCTGTGCCACAGTGCTGGAGAAGGCGCTGCCAGTGCCGAGGAGTGGAAGGCAGGGCAGTGGGCTGCAGACAGTTCATGGCCAGAACTCGGCACAGCTGGGTGTTTTAATTTAATTCTCTTTGAAGGGTTCCTTGCCCCCTAGGAAATGTTGTAATCATCTTACTTGGAAGCTAATTGAAGCCCTTAAGCAAGACTGTTTTCTCTTCTGTGTTCTCAGACTGTGCCTGTCGCTATGGTGCCTGAACACTTTCCAGTTTCAGGGGTTATTTCCCATTGCATATTTGGTGTGACACCATATCCAGGCAATCGGCTCACTGGGTGACACCAGGACAGCCAAAGCAAGCAGCTTGCAAGCGTGGAGCTGCAGCTGACAGACCAGGGTCGCTGCAGGGCCCAGCTGGCAGAGCTTCCCACCAAGAGCAGAGCCAAGTGCTGATTGAACACCAACATACTTAGAAAGTACTGGTCAGATTTGAGCTGCCCAGACCTTGTGAGGGGCAAAGAGCAGAATCCTTTGAAGTCTACGGTGTGGGACACGCTGTGATCCATGCTGCTGTGTGCTGCTCAGCATGGTGTTTGGAAAGGTATTGGGTGGAGGAAGGTGCTGTGATAACCGTGCATGGCTTGAGTTGTGCCAGAGGAGCATTTGCTGTGCATAAGAAATGCACTTAGCTCACAAGTTCATACAGCTCATCTGGCAGTTGTATTTGCTGCTTGTAGGATTAGAGATGGTAAATAACTATGAAATTAATTTGGGATTTATATCATGTCCACTGTGTCATCTGTTCCCAAGGAAAGAGGCAGGAGGGCTGTGGTTCTTCCTACCTCAGGTGCTGGGGTTTACATTCTGCTCTGCACCCACTGACTGAACAGCACTGCAGCAAGGCCACTGACACCAGCAGGGACCTCAGTTCGTGGTGCCTCAGTCCTCCCTGTAATCAGCTAGAGGAATTTTTGTTGCAAAACAATTTGTTTTTTTCTGGTTTTGTGCATTAAAAAAGATCTGTAAATGAGTGGCAAAGTTGCACAGGTGCTGTGTGACCAGGTGGCAGCCCCTTGCTGTCTCGAGATGCAGACCCTCCAGCTGCAGGAGCTACCAAAACCCAGCTTCACAGTGGTCATCTGTCCTTGTCCAGCTGCTGGGAGTAAAGTACTGCAGCAGAGCAGCTATGTGTGCTGTTAGAGAGGTGATGCCTTTCTCGGGGGCTGAATTCAGGCTAAAAGAAATGAAGTGGTAGTGCACTGGGCTCAAGGTGATTGACATCGCTTTGGATTCCCAAATAAATTGCTGTATCGCTCGCTTTGAGTGAATGGTGCCCAGTTTCCTCTTCTGATTACAAAGGCAGGCATCCCCACTGTGTCCTTAGCTGTCTGCTGGCAGGGCCACTGCTGCCCAGAGCACTGCCATTCCCCTTTGTCAGGTATAACTGCTTTGGGAGGCTAAAACAAGGGCAGTGTCATTGGTCTCTGACAGCTGTTTGTGCAAAGGAAAGGAGGTGTTTGACTAGCTCAGACCAATGGGCATGGTGTGAAATAGGAATAAAATAATTGTCTCCGGCAGGAAAAGGGTTTCTGTCCATTCCTAAACAAAACCCTGTAATGCACTGATACAGGGAGGTGCTGTGCCACAGGCAGAACTGATGTGCCTGGTGCTAGAGTGCGTTCTCTATCTTGTGAGAGAACCAGAGCTCATCTGCACTCAGGCAGCGCAGACTGGAGTGCTGATCGAAATCCATAAAGCCAAACTGCAATGCTGAATCTGATTAAGTTCCTCACCTTGAAAATATGACTGCAACTGGTGGTTCTGGTTGGTTGGTTGTTTTTTCTTGTTAATTCAGTGCCAGCTACCAGCAGAGATATGTATCTGCTATGAATCTTGTCCGGTAAGAGCCTGAGTCAGTCTGCAGTTTCAGTGCCTCCCTCATGTGAGCAGCTCTCACATGCAGCAGCGCTCCTTTGTGTTGTTTACCTGACCTGATCAATTGATTCTATCTTGTCTAATTAGCTTGAATTTCATTGCAATGACGGCTTCCAGCGACAGTAGGCTGTGGTTGTGCCACATGGTATGGTATC